ATCATTTAACGTTCTGCCGAAAGCATCCTTGATTATAGCAACTCGAGATAAAAAGACATACCTTTACCCTAGTCACAATATTCATAATAAACCTAAGTACATCAGAAGTGCTGAGGATGGCACAAGATAAGGGAGGATTCAGCTCTGCCGTTCATAAGATTGGTATGAGTCATAGTCCACGGCACTTAACCACGGACAAGAAATTATTTAAATGAGAGTTTTAGGAATGTCCTAGAAATGAGTTTCTTTGCGTTGCCCTAAGCTGGGTGAATAATAAAAGGAAGTGTTGAGTAAATAAGTGACCGGTCCTCAGGTGCTCTATGAACGCATCTCCTCTCATCTGGACATCTCCCTGTGCCCTGTGATTGCAGACGTGCCTAGGTGAAATCCGCCCACATGGAAAAGACCAATCAAGGACGCGGACTTTCCACCCCCACCTCCTCTCTTTTTGCTACCGCCCACTGTCTAAGAAGCCAGCTCCTCCACCTTCTCTTACTTTTCCATCTTGTCTAACCCAGCAAGGCCCTCCCACTCCCGACGCTGCCGGAGGCCGCGGCGAAGCCAGCGCGCACGCGCGCCGCGTCCGAGCATGCCCAGTCGCGCGCGCCAGCTCCGCGGCGCCCCGGAGCTGCTCTTCCGACCTGCTGCCGACGCGGAACGCTGGGCGGCTGCTCCGCGGGCGACAGGAAGTGAAACGGACCTGCCGGTCGACAGCGGCGGCAGGAACAGAGGCCGGAGGGGCGCTGCAGCGGCGGCGACGACGACGAAGACGACAGAGGTGGCCGAGGGGGCTGAGCGCCGAGGGGAGTCGCCCGCTCGGAAGACGGATTCCGAGCCGGGCAGGATGGACCTTCACCAGCCGGGCACGAGCCGCTACCAGGTGGTAAGTTGCCGGCCTCCTGCGCCGCCGGGGACCCGGGAGCGTCCCCGCCGTGGCCGCCGGAGTCCCTTTCCTCTGTGATTGGCGGGGGGACGTGCTGCCGACTGCTTTGGCCAGAACTGTCGCCTCCCACCTCTTTTCTCTGTAACCTGCCTTAGGGACCCTCCTTTCCGCCCCAAGTCTCCTCCGCGCCTCCTGCGCACCCTGGAACCAGCTAAAGACACACACACACACACACACACACACACACACACACACACACCTTAAAACTTAATTCTTTTATTTCTCGCTTTCTCATTATTTCTTGACTCCTCCCTGCGATATGCTGGTTGATTTTCTACGGGGAAAGATGCCCCGCTCCCTTTTCTGCTGGGAAGTGGATCCCGGTCATAGAATGGGAGGCAGGGGACGGTAGGGTGAGGTGTGGATTAGTCATAATGTAGGTTAGGAATCGTGGAACTTTGGGCCATAGCTGGAGTGGGGGTCTTGTGCTCGGCTTTATCCTGCCATTCTGTCCTTTTCCTTTATGTTCATTTCACAAGTGAATATATATTGTCCCCCACCCCGCATGTTTTTTTTTTGGGGGGGGGAACCAGAGGACGTTTTTTATTAATGACACCAAAATGTAAAACTTGTATTAAGATTTTTTAAAAAAAAATAAAAGTAGTTTAGCTTAATAGTGTGCCATGTAAGTCTTTGTAATTGATTATATGTGGGAATTGGTGAAAAGTTTGCCTTGGTATTTCAGTGCTTTTAAATACATATTTCCTTTATGTAATAATCCTAGTAATGACTGTTGTTTGCGGTCAGGTTGATCCGGATTTCTGGTAACCTGTAGCATCGGGTAGCTCAGTAGGGTTCAGTTTGAATCCAACCATTAGCTCTGTGAGAAAAAATGGATAGTCTCTTCCCCTGCCATTTACAGCCTTGGGAAACTCGCTGTGAAAAGTCAGCTATGAGTTGCCTTTGATTAGAATCTTTATGGAAGCCTCGTCCTTTCTCCTGTGGGGCCGCGGATGAGTCCACCACGTACTTGTTATCAGCAGAGAGAATATTTAACCACTGCTCCACCAGACCTCTGATGTCTAGTGGAGATGACAGTTGTAAACTCTTATTTGAAAATGGACCCAGCACTCTTCACTTGTAGCTTGGTTACGTGTTATACACATTTTAAGATGATAATTTAGTTAAGCATTTTTTACTGAGTTAGATGAGGGGGGGAACCCATATTCCTAGTGTTGATGGTGCAGTTTTCTATACTTTTTAGAAACTTTTATGAATATAGACCCAATGTCCATAGAGTTCACCTTTCAAATATATTTGCTCATATAAGATTTTGCTGGGGACGAGAAATTTCTAATAATACATGCATTTTGACAAATGTGAAGGGTCTTGAAAGATGAAATACTAGTGTATGTAAATATATATATATATATATATATAAATATAAATATAAATGTATATATTCATGTTTATATTTTCACCCGATTTTTATATCCTGTAAAACCTTGAAAAAGACCCATATTCTGAATTCTCAAAAAGTTTTCAATATTTTTTTGAATATTTTTGAAAAATACTGCTGCAATATAAAAATATTGAAGACATTTTCCAAGTTGTGAGAGTAATACCATTTTTGGTGGTTTGATTTTTTTTTCTAAAGGGTTTGCTATTTTTTCTGAAAGATGTTAGCAAACAGAAAATGCAATAGATATGTATTCCTTTTTCTCATCTCTTGCCTGTTCCTATTTGTTTATTTTAATGGCGTTAAATCAAAATAAACCCACTGCTGTTGAGACTTGGGTATCATAGCAACCATATAGGATGGTAGATCTGCCTGTAGGGTTTCCAGGGCTGTCAGTATAGAAAGACCGGTACCTCTTTCTCCCATGGAGCAGCATGGTGGATTTGAGCAGCATTGCAATTGAAAGTTTTAACCTCTGCGTCACCTTTGAATATTATCTCATTTGCTTTGACTGTGTTCTCTTGGATAACTTTCTTTAAGGACATTTAGAAAACATTTCACAACTTCTTAAATGATACAACTTGTGTCTTAAGATGGTTTATTACATTGTAACATTTGTTTTCATCATTTGTGACTTGCTGAAAAGTGATACACTTAATCTTATTCTTTGAAATTCCCTGGAATTTCACATAGTGAAATTTGTTCGTCTTAAGGTGCTGCTTCCTACTTGATTTATATATGACACCTTTCAAAATAGTGGACAGAAAAAAAAAAACAAAACAAAAAAACAAAATAGTGGACAGGATGTTTTATTGCCCCTCCCCCCCCCCAAATCAGACTAGAGATGTGTGCTACATAAGCTAAATGGGTGGAGACATGCATTCCTTTATTGAAGAGGGAAAAAAAAAAATCAAAAATCAGTCCTGCAAAGGTATTCATTTTAAGTAGTTAAAATAACAGTTTGTTTTCCTTGTAAGGCAAAGTGAGAATCTTGGCACCATTTTAATTCCTATTATTCTGTAAGTACCTATAATTTCATTTGTTCAGTGTAGCTTTTGAGTTTGTTGAGAGAGACTTGCCTGATCTGTCTGTCTAGGTATATGTCTAGGTATATGCCAGAGACACAGATTAATTGAAGTACATTGCATGGGGAGCTCTGGTGGCTTAGTGGTAAGGAATTGAACTGCTAACCCAGAGCCTTGTGGTTCAAATCCACCACCTGCTCCATGTGAGAAAGATATGCATTCTCCTGCCATGGAGTTTACTGCCTTTGATGACCCACAGGAGAGTTGGTCAGCTATGAGTCAGTTCCAACTTTATGGCATACAACAATAATAATAAATTACTTGGGCCAGTCTGCTGGTCTGGCTAATATATATATAATATATATCACTGTTTTGGGGCTGTTTTTAGCATCTTTTGTTTGGGAAGATTTTGGATTAGGCCAGTTAGCAACTTTGGCTATTCATTGTTAAAGGATGGATAAGAAAAGAGTAGCCCTAGAAATGAAAGAGTATTTGGAGTTTGTCACTTATTTAAAGTGATAAAATTTAAATTTCCATATCAAAAAGTTATTGTTAGGCCTATCAGAATGACATACTGCCATTAACCAGTGCAGTTTTTGTTTGGAACAGCTTTTTCTATAGAATCTTCTATTTGAAAGATCTAAATGTTAAAGCTATAAGTAACAGTGGAAAACCACCAAAAAAGGGTTACTTTTCCACTTTCAAAAAAAAAGACAGGTGTGATGCATTGTTTTGTATTGTGAGAACGTTAGCTTTGCTTGCTAGAAGATGTGCAATATTGTAGAACAATGAAGTAGTTGCCTTGGGTCAGCTGTTAGGCCACATTCTGACTTGAATGTTCTCTACTTAAAGGATTGTGTACCTGCATCAAGCTGACTACTAAGACTTAATTAAAAGGGATTCTGCGTACATATTAAATTGGCAGTCATGATTATAGCAGTAGTTCCCCAAACTCCTATATTATAGAATGTGTAATAGATATCCCTGAACGATATATTAAAAGCCGTGAGAAGTTCTGTATTTTCAGTCTGTAAGACCTTGGTTTAGCACCTTGAAACCACAGGACTCATCATGGTAGGGCATCCAAGGCTGTATGTCTTTATAAAAGTAGCTCTGTGAAGCCAAGCACTTTAAACACTGTGTTACTAGGGTTTCTATTTCCTCTTACTGTACTTTGTTGAGATTTTAATGAAAGTCAAATGAGATATATAAGACATAATACAGAGACTGGCATATGGTCAGTAAATAACTCTAAACAGAAATATTATGCATATTATGAATGTCAACAGTGCTTTGTCTATGTTAAGGACTGCAAAAAGATGAAAACTTGAATTTAGCCTATTTATGAGCTAATATGTTAGTCTATTATTGTGTCATGAATCTGCCAGGGTCAGGTAGACTTCCAGGTCAGTGACAAATGACTCATAGTACATAAGCAGTGAGAATGTGTTTGTGTTTTGTGTAAGTTTTCATTGCTCTGATGTTTCCCAAGGGTTGATGGGTCCACATAGACACATGTAGTGGGTGTACATATCAACTGAGAAATCATGGCCATGGACCTCAACACTTATTTTGGTGAATTGCAAGCATTATTGCAAATAACACACAAGTAGTCTGCTTTCCCCTGAGAAAGCAGTTGTCTCTTGTTATCACCTTGACCTTCATTTTTGCTCAGTATTCGATGGATAAACTTTGCACAGGGGCACCATCAGCAAGAATGTGTAGGGTTACTCAGATCTTTGGCAGACTGCCTTGCCCAACAGTCCATATTCTGGAAAAAATCCTATATAGGGAGTATTTAGGTGTACTTTTTCCTTTTTATTTTGCACTTGAACACTACATTCTTTTTATCTCTTGTTCTTCTCTCCTTAAAACAGCTTATTTTCTTGACCTTGCTTGATTTTCCCCCCTCGAAACTAATCACTAACTGGTTTATACTCTCCCCACACCTCTTTTATGTAACCAGAGCCAACCAGTTGCTTAATCCAATAGATTGTTTTTATTGTTGTTGATTGCCTTTGAGTTGAACATGACTCATAGCAACCCTATGAACACAAAAGGCCTGAAGACCCTTTACAACTATCAACATTTATCAAAGTTCATAAAGTTTCTGGAGCATGTTGTTTAGGAAGTGGATGCCACTCCTGCTTTCTGCCCTCATTTTACTTGATTTCTCTGTTAGATCGACACTTTGGGCTCTCTTATTCCTGATATCAAGAAGTATAAAATATATTTTTACTTCCATGACTTTTTTCCTTTTAATAAACTTATATTTCTTTCTTTTCTTTAAATGTTGATGCTTTCTATAGCATGTACAACTGTAGATACCTACATGCTGCTTTTTTCTTTCATCTGTTTTCACTGTGTCATTTATGCAGCTTGAACCATACATGTAGAATATGAATTGGATTTTTACCTTAGTAAAAAATCTTAATGCCCTCTTAGTTTATTTCTTCCTAAAATTTTGTTTAAAATCTTGGAAATATATATAAGTGTTGAAAGAATTATCACTGTTG